AACTAACGGAACAAGATCTGGATATGTGTTTGAGTGTGGGGCTGAAGGTCAACGTTGAGTACCTTTCTTTTTTATTTGTTGTTTTTTTATGCTGTTTTTTCGAGACAGGGTTCTCTGTGGCTTTGGAGGCTGTCCTGGAACTAGCTCTTGCAGACCCACAGAGATCCACCTGCCACTGTGCTGGGATTAAAGGTGTGTGTGTGTGTCACCACTGCCCGGCATGTTGAGTGACTTTCTTGACTGCCCTCCACCTCATTGTTTGAGACAGAGTGTCTCTCAGAACCCAAGCTCTGAGAGAGTGTTTCAAGGAACCCAGTCTTACCCATTTGACTAGAATGACTAATGATCTCTGCCTGCTCCCAAGTACTCGGGCTACAGATGTGTTAACACGCCCATATTTTTACACAGGTGCAAGGGATTAAAGGTCAGGCTCTCACATTTGGGCAGCAGGCACTTTTGCAATAAAGCCATCCTCCCAACACCAACTATGAAGTTCTTTATGGAACGCTCTGCATTTACACTTTGCCACAGATGAGATTCGGTGTGTTCTAACCATGAGTCTGCCCTGAATAGGTAAGTGTGAGAAATATCTGGTAGCAATGCCTTCTTTTACAGGGATCTTTGAGTTACATTCCTATGGGCACCCCAGTTACCTTTGAACTTGAAGTGGTTACCACTTTTACAATGTTATGAACCAATACTTTTTTTAGATAGTTAAAGCCCACTTTAAACCCATGATTACCCTGTGCCAGTAATCTAATGGCCCCATTCTTATTAGATGCATAAATTAGGGAGGATGAAAGTCATTTTGATTTGAAACAACTTTTATCTGAATTCTTCCAATATGTATATGGTGTCTTAAGTTCTACATCTGTCTCTCTCTCTCCCATGTTTGATTTCATACACCCCACAAATTATTTTCCTTGTTACATATTTGCCATTCTCTTCCTACCCAGTAGCTACTTTTCCCCTTGCAAGTCTGTGCCACTTCAAACATTCCGGGAAACAGATACTCAGTGTTCACATGACTTTAAATGAGATTGCACTTTCCTCACCCTTTCATTGTGGCAATAGTCATTTACCTGCATTTGTAACTCCCTCTTATCTATCCACACTTGCTTTCAGTGTCTATGAAACATGCATAACCCCTCTCTAAGAAAACAGACTCTAAATATTTGAGGCTGAAACAGTGCCACCATAAGAATCGTGAACTATATAGACGCTCGGGATGGACATTTGAATTTCAGGGGCCTTTCAAGGTTACCTATCAGAATTAAGTTTAACCTCATAGTCTAATGATGAGGCAACATGGTAGCTCAGCCACAGATTTCACCACCATCCCAAGGTCTAGGAAGCAAGGTACAGAACTCATACAGATCAGTGTTATTGAAGCACTGGGCAAAGACAGTATGGAAAAAAAAAGCACCATTTTCATGGTTGGAAAATAACATTTGACAATTATACAGTGTAAAATAGAGGAGATTTAAGGTCTAGTAAAACTCTTGCTGAGAGACTATTAAATTTGTTTTCTATAATTATGAGGAGAATAAAGAATTAGAATATGTTAAATAATGAATTTGTATGCATAATCTTTAACTCTTTTGGGGGTAGGGACAGGTTCTAACTGTGTCTGTCTGGTTGGCCTGGAACTTGCTGTGTAGACTACACTGCTGTAGAATTCATCAAGATCTGCTTGCCTCACTTCTGCCTCCTGGGTGCTGGGATTAAAGCAGTGGAACACATGCCTGGCCTTTTGCTAAAATTTTAATGAAATACTTGCATTGGTTGGTCTAGTTCTGACAAAGATACATACAAGTAGTGTTAAAGCATAATTCTAAGTGTGGTACATTTTTGTAAGGTTTGAAAATTAGTTTTATTCCTCAAAAATGCCTGGAATTCCAATATTGAGAGTCAACTAACTCCCCAGACCTTGTCAGGAAGCTCTGTTCTAGAACAGGGGTCAGTGTGGATGAATGGATGCTTCTGGTCCTTTCCCTCCTCCTCCTCTTCTTTTTCTTCTTCATCCCCCCTCTCACTATGTCTCTATGTCTCTGTGTGTGTCTCTCTTTGTATGTCTGTCTCTGTCTCTGTCTCTCTCTCTCTCTCTCTCTCTCTCTCTCTCTCTCTCTCTCTCTCTCTCTCTCTCTCTCTCTCCCTCTCTCTGACACAGTTTATCACTGACTTACATCAGGAGTTGCCCCAAGCCAAGCCCGGCACCATTAAACCCTCCTTTTAGGCCTCCAGAGCTGGGAAGCAGGTAAGAACTGGACAGTAGTCCAAAAAGACAGGATGAGAACCCTGCACCTAAGAGGCAGACACCATGATGGTTGCTGACTTTGTGTTACAGAAGGTGGCAATGGTCTTCCAAGACTGAGTGGGCAATGTTGGGTGTGCAGCCTTACTCCCTCAATCTCTAAGTCTTCAGTGTTCCTTGGCAACAGAAGCAAAGACTGGATTTGCAAAAGTGCTTTCCAGAATATTCCATCTAGTCACTAGCCAAGCCACTTAAGTTATGTGATCCAGTGACTGAAATTCAAGATTTGTCATTGGTTGTCACTGGATGCAAAGTTGGAAGAACATGGCTTGATTTGTATATGACTAAAGTGTTCAGGGACCGATTCTACCTCCACTACAAGCAGGGATAGCTTTCAGGAAGAATTAGTAGTCTCCACATCTCACTGTGAACCGACAGTGTTGCTAGGGAAACTGATAATTATGTGGGAAAATGGAGGGTGCAGAATAGAAAAAGGGTTCAGAAGAAATGTAAGGTTTTGATCCAAATCAGCATGTTAATAGTACAGTTTGTTGATCTTCTGTAGTCATATAATTTAATAAATACCATTAATTATATGTTTGACAAGACATGGATTTCCAAACTGAGAGACATGAATAATAGGGAAAGGCTACTGGTTACTGATCATAGCCTGAGTATACCACAGCAAGACCCCGTACTTCTAATAAACTACAATTAAACTGTAAACACTCATTCATGAAGGTTAAAAAACCCACACTGGCTTGATTTCTGCGAATTCTCTTTTGCCTTCAATCTTATACCTTTCCAGGTATAAAAACCGTACTTGCTAACAGCAGTACTGACCTTTGCCTCATAGTCACAGGGTATCAAGCCACCTTGGTAGGCTGGAGAGGAAAGAGCTGTCACCACTTTTATACTCCACACAGTAAGGCCAATCCAGAGTATCTGGAGACCCTCTTGAGGCACAGCCCTCAGTGGTGTACCCTCCAGATTCTTCTCCAGCAACTGCTTTGAGGCGCTACTTAGAAACTGTCCCTTACTTAGGGACAACCCAGCAGAAAGACATAAACCTAGTGAGCACACTCACATCGCTAAACACTGACTTCATTTAAATGAACTTTTTTCAATTCTTTGCACTTTTAATGATCAAGAAGTTACTTCTGCAGCTAATGCTTCAACATAAACAGCTGATTATCAGAAACATCTCTCTGTAAATGCTTGTGCGTCTCTGTGTGGTATATGGTTTAGGGTTTTTCATGACAGTGAGACACAACTGCTCCTGCACACCAATTATGTCAGAAAGGAGGATGGGCATGGGAGAAACTCATTATGGAGTTTGCTTTCAACATGGCAAGATTAGCCATTTGGGCAAGAAACTGCTCTTGCCTGGACTGTTTGTTGCTGTATAAACTGGACACACAGGACCCACAAGAAAGTGACTGCTGAACTTACGAAACAAGACAGTACTGAAGGGTTCTTGTTGAAATGGAGAAGTGTGCCAGACACACTGTGGCCCATAGGCTGAAGATGGATGCCCCAACGCTATAGAAGAACTTTGGGTGACTGTCCAGGAAGCGAGATGTCTCTGTCAATTCTAGAGTTTATCTATTATACTTCTGTGGTCTTTGACGTAGTTGGAGACAGATAGTTATGATTATAGTTTTCTTTAGTTATTATAAAAGATAAGCTACATATAAGACTTTAGACTTATATGTAGCTAGGATAGATGATAGAATACTTTCTTTAAATCTTGCTAAATGTTAATGGACTAAATATTGTAACTATAGTTCTTACTTGATAAGTGTTTTGTTATATATTTTACTATGCTAATGTTAAAACCCTTCTTTTTATTTAGACAGAAAAGAGGAGATGACGGGGAAGTCCTTCTGTGTATATGTTTGTCTTATTGGTTCATAAATAAAGTATTGTTGGCCAATAGGGAAGCAAGTTAGGTGGGACTAGGAGTCAAGGAGGATTCTGGGAAATGTAGTAAAGATGGAGTCACCATGTGATCATCAATAAGACAGGACGCAGTTGTCCAGCATCCTCGATAAGTCTTTATAAAATATATAGATTAGTAATTATGGTTGATAATTAAGACTGAGCTAACAAATGAGAAACCCTAGTCATTGGCCAGCAGCATTGTACCTAATATAAGTCTCTGTATGTTATTTTGGGTGCCCACATGGTGGCAGGGCTCAGGAGGCTGGCAGAAAGAGTTATTGTTACAGATATATACATAAACTATGTACAGAATGTGAATGTGTGAGAACATGTAAATGACACTCATGGATCGTGGGTGTGTCTGATGCTATGTTCTCTACTTGTTTGGGTTTTTGGAAAGGTGGACATGAGGAGTACAAGTAGGACCCTACATAAAGAACAGAACTGAAGAGAATATCTTAAGTAAGTGAGTCCGGCGAGCTGGAGACAGGCCACCAGTCCTCTGATGCATGAGCAAGGAATTTATTCCGAGGGTAGGAACTAGAAGAAATGGACTAGCATTTCCAATGCAGTTACTCTGTGCATTTATTCATGACACACTAAAGATAACGCTTGGGTTTGCCTTTAGCTGGAACCCTGCCATTTACACTGAAGCGTTTATGTTTGATATGAGCTGAAATAAGAGGCTCTTATCCTGATATTAGGAGGTGGTGTGAGATTTGGGGTCTCCAAGACAGAAAAAGAACTTAAGTTCTGATTACTCTGTCAGAAACAATGAGGTTTGAGGTGAGGAGAGACCAACCTTGACTCAAGCCATCCTGACAGGATGTTTGCCTGGCTTCCACATTCTCCATAGTGTCTCCTTTTGAGACTTCACCGGGAGATGTTCGCCTCTCAAAGATGTTGTTGTTGTTGTTAACTTGAGTCCCATTTTGCTTCAGAAGTCTGAAAACCTCAGCCTCCAGATCTCTGATCTAGAAAACAAAAAGCCATCCACAAATAGGAATGTCCAGCAGCCCTCCAGGCACCACTGCCTCACTGTATCATGGCTGTGAGAGCCCTAACTCACCCGTACTTGTAGGCCTTGGACTTCCAACAGATGAGCTTTCTCTACCTCTTCAAGCTTCTTTCTTTCTACTTCCTGTCTCTTGATGAAATCGAGCTCTCTTAAGAAGAAAACAATAGGTTCAATTGTAGATAACTTTCAGTAAGTGAGGAAATGTGTAGACTACTACAGAAGCACTCAAGTGCACAGTGGGATAAACCCCAGAGAGCTATTTAAATAAATGAAAAACAAATACAGTTAGTGGGAAAGTTTATGGCAATGAAAGGAGAAACACCTTTCATGATTTAATCACAAGTATGAAGTATTCCTAGTGTTCTCAGTAGCTGTTCATCTGGAGCATGCACACTCTGTGTGGACAGGAGGGACCGCACTAACGACTCCGGAGGGAATTCAATGGTGATAATTTTCCTGTCAGTAGAAATGATTCTCTATCTCCAATATATCAGGCAACAGATGGAAGTAGATGGTAAGAGTTCGCTCTAGTGAAAAAACAGTGGAGGGGCACCGAGGCGAACACTCACACCTCCACGGGTAATACTGGAGAAGGGGACACCCCTCCATTCTGAGAGCTTCTGGGAGAATATGCAAAGCTGGTCATTTCTTACAGATAGATGTAGTTAGCAAAAAGTTACAACGGTAATGTATTGAGTTCACAATAATAAAGAACTACTATCCTCTTTTAAACAACTTGTTACAGCTATCTGTTTCAACTACTAAAATATTATTTCTAAGACAGGAAAGAGATACGATGGCCGTGACACACATACTTAGCTTCCAAGGCTTGTCACAGAGAACCGCAGCAAGTACTAGTGCTTGGTCGAGTGAGTCAGAAATAACTCATGACGGCCTCTCTGGGCATCCTCTCTGAGATTCCATCAAGGCCCAAGAGGTGGGAGAAAAACAACTGCAGCTCAGAACAGAGCAGCTGAAATTTCATATCAGGGTGTGGTGGGGGCCTGCCTCACTGGTGCGACCTGGGTCCCTGAGAGCTAGGAGGAGAAATGCAGAGGCAGGGTGGGACGGCTGTGGTCACTGATTCTAAGAGGAGACAGAAGCAGCCTCATCCAGACCACACTATTCCTCCACATGGAGCATGTCCAACGGTCAGCCAAGTATCTGTACAACTCCAGCTACATTGCTGGTTTCTAAAGCATCTAGAGATGCTTCCAGAAAGAACCAGCAAGTGTAAATGTTTTAGTAATTCCTATCAAAAAGTAATGGGGAGTCAAATGGCAGCACCCAAATACATTCCCATGAGAAAAAGTTGCTCTTCTAATCTGTGGTGACTGTGATCTGAAAGGGAACCCAGTCTACCCTTCCCACACCCTTAAACAGTATCAAGCCATCTGGGAAGCACCTTCTTCAGACACCCATCTGTCTTAACTGTTATGTGGATCATTAGGGAATGCTTACTTTTGTTGAAAATCCTTGATCAGCTTCTTCGCTTTGTTGTATTTCTTCTCCAAGGCCTGATACTGGCTTTGAGTCTCTTTGAGATGCTCATTCACGGTGTGACACAAAGTCTGTGCCTCGATCCAGTAGCTCTCCAACTTCAGCATTCTTTCTTTATTCTCTTCAATATTCTGTTGAAGCTGGTTTTTCTCTAGTTCCCACCTTACTTTCTCACTTTCTGCTGCTTGCAGCTGGAGAAAACAAATGCCAAGGCAAAGATCATTTAAGTATGTCTGTAGCAACTGTCAGTCCACACTATTATAGCTTGTTCTAGATAAAATTCTAGTGTTATGTGCCCACAGTCATCAAAACAGCTGGAGACAAGAAGAGCAACAATTCTTTCCATGTCCATAAAGGAGAAAATGGAAGGCTTGAAAAAGGAAATGGTTTGCTCAAGGTTACCCATCTGATACATGATGAAACACAAATTTGATTCCAAATCCCATGAACTTTGTTTGATACCATGCAGTTGAAATACTGCAAGCAGGAAAAGATGTCTAGCATGTCACTGATTCGGCAATATATGTCAACACATTTCCTTTGAGAGCATGTTAAATAAAATGTAGGACATTAAGTTGAAAATTAACTAAAAAGAGAGTTGGGGAGGGAAGGGAGAGGAAGAGAAGCACACTATGCAGAAAAGTAGTGGTTCTCAGCCTTTCTAAAGCTGCAGCCCTTTAATACAGCCCCTCATGCTGTGGAGACCCCCCCCAAAAAAAACATTGTTTTTGTTGCTACTTCATAACTGTACTTTTTGCTACATCATGAATCATAGTGTAAATACCTGCGTTTTCTGATGGTTCTTAGGTGACCCTCTGAATGGGTCATTCTGAAGCCCATCGGTTGAGAACCACTGCACAAAGGGCTAAGAAGGGACTTAGTCACTCAGCTTACATTTGCATTACTTTCCTTAAAACTTAGACAAGTAGTCCAGGTTTCTAAGCATCTACGTGTGCTCTCACAACTCAGCGTCCTTGCAACACTGCTTGGACATCATAATCACCCTCTAAGGGTCAGGTTCTGGTCCTGTGTTTTTAACCCTTTAGAGAATGTTACAGGGTCCTGATTTCAATTGCCGTGGACACAGTCTGTCACTCAGTATCTTACAGGGAGTCTTCTAAATATCTATATTTTTATAAATCTTAATTTACACAAAGCATAAAAGACAAGGCTAACTAAAGATATAAATGGCTGTTTGATTAACCTAAATCTCTGCAACGGATCAGAAAGACAGCTTTGTGTTGTTATTGTCTCTATGTATTCTTAGGGATACAGAGTGCAGTTTTCTCTAGACCTCCTGGCTGAATCTGAAACCCATCTGGCCTTGCTGTTCAGATGAGGCTTAAAGGACACTGTCAACAGCCACATGGCCTTTAAGCCGCTGCTCTGTCGACCATCTCTGCTTTCTTTAAGCTTATCAGTATTCAGAGTGAAGAGGTTCTGAAATTATATAACATTGAACAAATGGAATACACATTCACACAAATATATATTTATATATCACAGGTATCAGATCGTGAATTTTTTTTTTTTTTACTAAATACATTTGGACAAGAGGTTACAAAGTAAAAATTACTTTGAAATGAGGAAATCTATTTAACATGGATAATAAGCACAATTACATATTTTCAATTGTGGATATCATATACCAGTCTATGAAGAAAAATATAACATAGTAATTTGTACTCTTTTCTAAGCTAAATCTTCATAGGTCCAATGCCTAAGCCTGTTTACGAGAGCTTCGTAAACACAGGGGCTCCTTTTCCCGATTTGTAGCCAACAGTTTAAGAAGATCTGCTTTTCAACATCAAGAAACAGTTCCGGTAAAACGTACTAGGTTTTTACTGCATCTGTAACTAAGTAATGTTTTATAGCAGTTGTTTATGTACCAGCCACTTGCTAACTTAGAATTTAAAATTCACAGTGCGAGGCTGGCACCATGGAGGATGAATAATCATGCTTTGGCTAAAGAGCTGCAGAGCGTATTAGTCGAGAATGGCATTTAACCAAAGTCGTCCAACTAATTCATCTCCATTTAAAACACATGGAAAAATCCCAAACAAGTATCCACTGTGAATGAGAAAACAGATCACTAGTCGTGGGGAGTAATTATTATCTCAATTTTAAAAAGATCATGGAAGCAATACACAATAATTTGAAAGTAACTGAAAAATATTTTTAAGTCTCTGAAAATATACATTTGATACAACTGAACACAATAGCTAGAACTGTCTCTTGTACAAGAATTTTACAGCTTACTTTGATGTCTCATTTCATATAGATTAAAAATATATTGTCTTTTTATTCATATTTTTCTTCAACAAATTTAAATAATGCAAACTAAGTATTCCTCAAGATTTCCAGTAGCCCCTGGATCTAAATCAATTACACAGTGTCATAGAGTGAGTTTATAATATTTAATTCTTAGACATGGGAAGTTTTTTAAAAAAATAATTAATGTGCCACATTAAAATAATACATTGCTTCTAGTAATTAACTAAAAAAAATCCATCTACTTACTATAAGGTAAATCACATAAAGGAGATTTGATATACCAGCTTGTACTTAAAAATTAGTACACAGTTCAGATGCTTGAGCCATTAAAAATATCATTCTTTGAAGAAATATCAGAGAGAATATGCATGAGCTTATCTCTTTCAGATATGAAGTGCTATGTGGCTTTCACTGGGGTGTGTGCGATGTGCTTGCTCTCCCGGAAGTTCTGTCTTTGTACTTAATAGTGGAACTGAAACTCATGGAACTATGCTCTCAAATGCACAGGACCAAATCCGTTAGTCCTAGGCTTCAAATTCCTCAGAGTATCTGAAGTTTAAAGAGTACAATCCAAACACCACGGAGCGGTGCTTACCTTGGTCTTCAATTTTTGAATCTCTGCTTCTGTAACTGCATGTTTGATTTGCAACTGAAAATTGAAAAGAAAAAAATTCTCAACTAAGAGTGTTTCTATATTTTTAAAGACTCAGCAGCGAGAAGAATATCTTATGACACAATAAAAAGCCTAGGAAACTGCTGCAATGCAGCAGGTTGTAAATTACAACGTCTAGCGTGTAAAATGACTTACTGGGTGCAAACTAATTAAACGCAGGGTTTATGGCTCACAGTCCCTAACATCCGATTAAGTTACCAGTTGAATTGCTCAAAGGCCAAAGAAAAGAAAACCCATTTCTTGTGCTCTGCGGCTCTTCCTTTATGATCTGAGAGTCCCGGAGCTGTTTCCTTGCTGAGGCTGGCCCACTGAACAGCTTGCGCCATGCAGTCAACAGGCCCTGCATAGCGTGAAGCTTCAGTTCCACATCTTGCAGAAAGGTGGCGCTGTGGTTCTGCGAGTCGCTCTCACTTTCCGCAGAGCGGCTCTGCGGCAGAGGAAGGAGGGGGATGGATGCAGTGGCTCTGAGAAATCTCCGGGTTTGTTTTCGTTTTTCCTCCTTCTTCTTTTTAAAAGCAGGAAAGGTACAGATTCAGATTTCTGCCCCACCAAATATCTACCTGTGTGAAGACCCCAACCTCAAAAAGCATTTTTTACAACATAATAGTCGCCTGGGCCATCTGTTTGCTTTGCTCCCCTCCCCCCACTGTTTTCTTTGTAAGGAGGGGTCTTCAATGCGTCATTCATTTCTTTAAGGGCTGAATGCCCTCCCTGAACTGAAGGAAAACAGTTTATAGGTTCACAATTTGTTCTCTGAATTCCCTGGGAAAGGGTGTTTTTGAAATTCCCCATTCTCCCCGTTTTAGAGGTCAGAAGAGGCACCTTCACCAGTTACATTTTGCATTTTGGGAAGGAGGGAGCACTCTGCTACCAAATTCAGGAACATTTCTGCCACACTAAGTAAGGCGTGTATGGCCCTTACATGGCACCCTGCTTCTTTTGGTCACACAGTACTCTGAGTTGGTTTGCCACAAACTTACTAAAGACCCCCCTCCCAACACACACACACATTCTTTTTTTTTTCTTTTTCTTTTTTGTTCAATTTGGGATTAGAACTGTCCAAGAAGTACTGTAACCTTATGCTATTACCACAACCAAGCGAATTTAAGGCAGTTTACCAGTCAGCCAAGGAATTACAATGGGAAGTAACCTTTTTAGTCCACAGCACCTCCTAAATGGCTCCTCTCTGGGTTTTTAGCATGTATGTCCTTGGCTTTACTGGCCTGCTGGTGACACATGGGAAGGATACTAAGGGAAACAAGGAAGACTCAAAAGAGGTTGGATCAAACACCCAGCTTATGGCTGACTAACAGTCAGAGCCCGGAGTTGTCAGGCTTGGTTCACCAGGGTCCACCTCAGTGATTTGTCAAGGTAGACAACCCAGCTGTCGAGAGTGACCCCAACACCGTTTTAAAATGGACTAAAGACAACATCCATGGCTTATCTTATTTTCACTTTTTTGGAACTGAGATGGTCTGGATCTCTTGGTTTCATACCTTTGGTCTAGTGAGTGGTCCAACTCACTAAGCTGCCTTTAGCACAGATGCCCAGATTGTGACTGTGAGTGTGCCAGGCAAGAAAGCTACACCAAGCTTTCTCAGTGAAAATACTGGTGGAGGCCCTTTGTGCTCCCCAGAAACCCTGGTCTAGATAGGTCTTCCAGATGCTGACAGCGCCAGGACACCCAGGCTCAGTACCCACAGTGAGTACGATGATCTAAAGTCTTCCAGCTTCTGATTTGGCGAAACTGAGGCTCAGAGAATACGATCAACCTGTCTAGTTGTAAAACAAATCAACACTAAATTAGACTCCAATTTGGATGTCTGGGTTCTGATCTTGTGCCATTTCTCTTAAAAAAAAATAAGGATAAACTTTATAAACATCTATCGAGGAGAGGCTCTATGCAAGCAACTGTGAAGGGAACAGTCTCTCTCCAATAAAGTCATGATAGCCGCTCCTGCCAACAGGAACTAACGCCCTGCAAGGCCAACAGGATTTAGGCATTGAAGATATTCTTTATATGCAACATGGGGGAGCTACACAACGACAGGGAATTATCTTCCCGAGTTATATTGTTCAGTAGTAAAGCAAATTCATATGCCTGGATGATTTTTCCCCAGCAATTATTGACAAGAATATCTACTCTTTGATGTTTAAAACATATTACTATGAGAAGTTAGGCTGCTCCAATTCATCATATTTGTCGTGTGCATGTGGTATTCAGTAGGACTATTGCTTAACCTCTCACCTGTATTTTCTCCCAAGTAAAATGCACTTCCTCATAGTTTATGAGCAATCTCACTGGGACATGAGAGGAGATAATCCATGTAAGGCCTTTAAAGCACAATGGCTGATTAAGAGTTATTCATCAACAAAGGCATCCAGGCCTAGAGAGAATCATCTAAAACACCCCAGGGTCACTACCCCATTTCACTTCTTCCCACTGGACGCTGGCAATCCAATGCTCAGACAGCAGAGCCAGAAGGGTTGCTGCAAGTTCAAGGCCAGCCTGGTTTCCATAGCCAGTTCTAGGCCAAAAAAAGCACCACGATGACATTCAGAAAAATGAATCAAAAAGGTGTTAAATGTCACGTACAAAGCTACTCCTGAAATAAAAACACATCTGTTCTACCTGAAGGATTGACTCTGCAGTGAGCACTGTTACGAGGGAATGCCAGACACCATATTCTTGATGACTAACTCCAGTGGTGGGGAGGGCCTATGGCCTTCCTCTTCATGGGGCTTTAGACGTCTTTGCTCATACCACTTGTGACCTTATCTACACCTCAGCTTTCCAAATGAAAACTGAGAGGACTGGATGGGAAGAGCTCCCAGCATCCCCCACACGCTTCCACATTTGGCAGCTACTGGGAGAAAAAATGGGACCGGCATCTTTGCCATGGTCAGGGCCCAGGAATTCAAATCACAAGCATCTTCTCCTACATAGTAGGTTAGTACCCCAAACTATGGACGAACCTAAGGAGAAATGCGAAGTAGCCCACACCGCTGTCTGGTTAGCTTGGTGCTCCAGTCTCGCCAAACAGGTAAGAGAAGAAGAGGGCTGCCCTCATTAGCAGTGGGGTGGCAACCACTGGTGAGAGTGCAGTGTGAGGAAAACCAGGGAAGTCTTCAGGTACAGAGTGCAATGTGCAAATCTGGACATCATTCATAAGACAAACAATAACTCTACTGTAAGGTTTCCTAGGTGACACAAGGCCTGAAAGATATGTGGTTATTTTCAGACTAGGTGCAATGTACCTTTCAAAGAATTTTTATGTATCCATCACTATTAATAGGAAAGGCATAAAAACAAACAAGCTGAACATTTTCAGTTTACACAGTAAAACACTGTACAAGGACTTTAAATAGCAGAGCTAATAGTTGCCAAAGCCAGTTTGTAGAAATCTCAGCCCACAGTTCTGCTAATATGGAATTTTTTTTTTTTTATTGGCAGGAACCTGCCTGTTTTTCTTCAGCCCCCTCTATTACTGCAAATGGCCCTGGGAGTGAGCAGATCAGGTCCTGTTCAAATCAGTGTTCAGATGAGAAAGGCTCAGAGACATCACACTGCATCCTGGAGCACCCCTGGGAGAGGATGTGCAGGACAAACAACCCCAGGCCTGGCTTCTCTACTTCTGCCCATCAGCTTGCCCAGCTTGTTGCCAGATGCATCATGTCTCATTCAGCCCTTATGAAAATCTTGAGGTGCATGTGCTCATCACTGCCCTGAATGAGAGATCACGCCTCGAACTGGGCAGTCTGCGATCCCAACACTGAGCGTAAACTGGTGACACTACCAGAATCTGGTATTATTAATAAAACCCAGGGATCTGAGGAGGTGGCCAAAGTGCTTGCTGTGCAAGCCTGGGGACCTGAGCGAGGGACACTAGCGCCTATGTAAAAGATGAAGAGTTCTATGTGCACATGTAACTGCCCTGGAGGAGGAAACAAGAGGACCCTGGGGGCTCACTGGTCAGCCAGTATAGACCAGATTGTGAACCCCCAGATTCAGTGAGACCCGTTTCAAACAATAAGAGGGAGAGTTACAGAAGAAGGCATCCACTGACCTCTGACCTCACTATGGTGCATGAGTGAGCACCCTAATACATACAGAAAAGAAACATAAAAATAGCAAAGGAGCTTAGAATACATTCATTGTTAAACCGATATTTCATTAGTGACACTATGTCCTTAACTTGTGAGACCAGGCGCTGCCATCTTCCTGTCAGCTATAACATGGATACCCCCAGTGTCCACCCATGGATTTCAGCTGACATAAATGTACAATTTTACAATGAGCACCAAGTCTCACTTCACATAACGTAGGGGTATTGCTGTGTGTGGGCTCTGTTTACTGGTTTCAGTAAGACGAACACTGGAGCGTGTATGTCTGTAACTGAATTAAAACATCCACATATGACCCCCAGACACGGGCAGAAAGCTAATCAGCTTCAACTGCTGCACCCTACTTAGCCTGTGCAGGAATGGAAAATATTTTTTTTTTTGAAGTGAAAAATGTTATCTTTGCATCTTTGCAGGAGAGATTTAGGAGTCTTCTAGAGGCAGACATTTTCTATGAGATAAGCACAGAATTCCCCTGTCTTGTTGCACAGGGGGCAATACCTGGTATCTGCACAGAACTCGGTGAGATGGTTTCAGCACTGCACAGATTGTTAACTACCAGTTCTGCACTGCACTGAGATCTGTTTTGTCCACAGCAGGGTGGGCTCCACAGAGGAAGGAGCTGGGGGCATTTCTGCCCATATATGATGCCATTGGATCATTGGTAAATTCTTGCCTTTTTGTTGTTGTTCAAGCCTTCATAGATGGCGTCTCTGTATCAACAAAAGTGGGTTTTATTTTCAGGGAACTACATACACAAAACAAGCTGGAATTAGCTAGCTCAACCCGATGATGCAAAGGTCCCCACCAAGAGCAGTGAACAAAGCGCAGGTCGAGTCTCTAGCAAGGCCACT